AGGTTTTCGCTATAGGGCGCATGTGCTCGCCAGACAGACAGAGAGACAGAAAGCGAGAAATCACCCCCCAGGGTGGATGGCCACGCCGCAGTCCCTTCTCCTCCATTCTCCTCTTGGGATCTTGGGCACGCACGCACACACGCCCGGCGTGAGTTTTAAGCCACCAGGTCCGGGATGCCAACCGTGGTCGACTACATGGGAGTCCAGTGACAAAGCCATTACGCTAACTGCTGGTCCCCATGTTTGTGTATTTTTGAGGGTATTTCTTGAAATTAATATTGAGTTTAATCCCATCATGGTCAGAGAAGATACTGGATATAGTTTCTACGCTTTTGAATCTGTAAAGGCTTGATTCGTGACCTATTATATAGTCAATCTTTGAAAAGGTTCTATGCTGGGGTGAGAAAAATGTCTATTTTGTGGTCTTAGGGTAGAAAGTTCTATAGATGTCAGTCAAGCCCATTCAATTTATAGTATCATTTAGAGCCTGTGTATCTTTCTTTACTTTTTGTCTAGAAGATCTGTCTAAAGGAGATAATGGGATGTTGAGATCCCCAACGATTATAGTGTTGCACCCTATCTCTCCTGTTAGCTCTAGCAGTTTTTCCTTCATGTATTTAGGTGCTGTTGATTTGGGCACATAGATAATTCTAACTGTGATGTCTTCTTGATGAATTAGCCCATTTACTATTATATAATGCCCTTCTTTGTCTCTTCTTACAGCCTTTGTCTTGAAGTCTATTTTGCCTGAAATCAGTATCGCAACTTCAGCCCTCTGATTTCCATTTGTATGGATTATCTTTTTCCAGCCCTTCACTTTTAGCCTATGTATGTCTTTATCCATAAGGTGTGTTTCTTGTAGGCAACAGACAGAGGGTTTCTGATTTTTTTTTAACAATCGATTCAGCCATCTGTGTCTCTTAATTGGAGAATTTAATCTATTAACATTCAATGTTAGTATCGATATTTCTGGACCTGTTCCTATCATTAAATGAGCCATTTTGTTGGTTGTTTTTTGTTCTCGTATAACTGTCCATCCGACTTTTTAGTTTTCCTGGTATAGCACTCCCTTTAGAACTCTTGAAGAGCTGGTCTGGAATTTTGGTACATTCTTTCAGGTTTTGTTTATCTGAGAATGTTTTTATCTTTTTTTTCCCATATGAAGGATAGTCTTGCCGGGTATAGTATTCTTGGTTGAAATTGTTTCTCATTTATTACTTTGGCTATATTTCTCCTTTCTTTCTTTGCCTGCATTGTTTCCAATGAGAGATCTGATGTTAGCCTGATGGGATGACCTTTGTAAGTGACTTGATTTACAAGTTTCCCCCTTGACAATTTTAGTATCTTGTCTTTATCTGCGGTTTTGGCCAGTCTGGCTATAATGTGCCTTGGAGAGGATCTTCTTGGGGTGATTCTATT